CAGGAGACTTGCTTGAGCCCAGGAGTTGGAGGTTGCTGTGAGCTGTGATGCCACAGCACTCTACCCAGGGGGATAGCTTGAGCCTCTGTCTCAAAAAAAAAAAAAAAACTTCCTATTTATCCAATAAAATTTTGTTTTAGTGGCCATATGTTATGCTATTATATTAATGGTATCTAGATTTTATCTGAAAATATTGGAGTGGTCAAACATATTTCTTTTTGGTTACATTTATTTTTCCCATCAATAACTTATCTGTTCTTTACACAGCTATGCTTAAGTAGTAGATCTTTATAATCAGCATATTTAATATTCATCTATTCAATAAATATTTATTGATCAGGAGCTGCCAGTGAGGCAGGAGGAAAACAAGATTGTGATGGCCTGGAAGCCAAGTGTAGAATGTATTTCTAGGAGGGAGTAGTCCACTGTGTCACATGCTGCTGGGAGATCAGGTAAGATGAGGATAGAGAATTGCCCAGTGAATTTTTCAAGATGGAGGCCATTGATGACCTTGACAATAGCAGTTGCAGTGGAGTGTTGGAGAGGTAAACCTGGCTGGAGTGGGTCCAGTGAGACTGAAAGTGAAGCAACAGAGTAAAGAATTACAGAATTTTCTAAGGAGTTTTGCTATGGAGGAGAGCAGAAAAATGGATCTCTAGACAGAAGGGAGTATGCATTGATGGAAGGGTGTTTGTTGAGATGTCAGATGTCCCAGCATATTTGCATGCTCTTGGGAATGATCTAAAAGGGAGAAGAAAATTGGTGATGTATGAGTTATAGAAGGATAACATCCAACACCATTGTGGAAGGGAATCTGACCTTAGATACAGGAACAGTTCACCCCTTGGAAAAGGAAGAAAAGCAGAAATAAAGATTTAAACAGGTTAACAGATTTGGTGCTAGGAGATTAAGATTTTTTTTTTGGTTTTGTTTTAAGACATGGGGTCTTGCTGTGTTACCTAGGCTGGACTCACACTCCTGGGCTCAATGGATCCTCCTGCATCCGCCTCCAGAGTTTCTGAAACTGTAGGTACATGCCATCACTTACAGCTAGAAAATGAGTTTTTATAAGATTGCTTCTGTGTTCTCAATGAAATAAGTTACTGGCTGAGAATTGGAGAGGGTGGCATTAGAAGTTTAGAAAAAAAGAAAATATGACTAGTCACCTCAAGGTCCAGAAAAGTAAATATTAGAAAAATGTAATACCAGATTTGTGATCATAACTGTTGTTTTTCACTCTTTAATGGTGGAGAAACAATCACATGGTTTATAATTAGATGATAACAGAGCAAGCCAGACTTAAATTTTTAAAAAAACCTGGTTTTGTTAGAAAGGTACCTCACTAATTTTATTTATTTATTTACTTATTTATTTATTTTTGAGGCAGAGTCTCACTATGTCACCCTTGGTAGAGTACTGTGGCCTTACAGCTCACAGTAACCTCCAGCTCCTGGGTTTAAGCAATTCTGTTGTCTCAGTCTCCCCAGTAGCTGGGACTGCAGGCGCCTGCCACATCGTCCAGCTATTTTTTTGTTGCAGTTGTCATTGTTGTTCAGCTGGCCTGGCCAGGGTTTGAACCTGCCAACCCTTGGTGCATGTGGCTGGTGCCAAGCCAGGTACCTCACTAATTTTTAATTGTCATACATGTTTCTCTAAATTCTTACTACATCAAACAGCTTTCTAATTTTCTTTGTACTGATGTTGGATCCTTTTCTGATTCTCCCTGAATTCTTTTCATCCAAAACCTTTCCAGAGCTGTGTTTTTTATAATTCCAGTGTTTTAGGGCTTTAAGGTAGATCAGTGTCACAAGGCTTTTAAAATAATTTCAGAATATCCTCACCTTTCCTTATTATAATAATAGTTATACATTTAGTATAGAAAATGTTGGCACAGGGTCAGTCATGGTGACTCATGCCTATAATCTTAGCACTCTGGGAGGCCAAGGCAGGTGGGTCACCTGAGCTCAGGAGCTTGAGAACAGCCTAACCAAGTAACAAGACCCCTTCTTTAAAAATAGCTGATACTGTGCCAGGTGCCTGTAGTCCTAGCTACTTGGGAAGCTAAGACAAGAGGATCACTTCAGCCCAAGAGTTTGAGGTTGCTGTGAGCTATGACAGCATGGCACTCTACCAAGAATGAGAAAGCGTGACTGTCTCAAAAAAATAAAAAATGAAAATGTTAGAGCTCCATGTCCCAATCAGTTAGCACATAGTACTAATATGAAAATGTTGGCACAGTTATTCCTTATTTATATTTCCTCTGTTTCTGATTTTCTCTGTTTGTATTGCTGTTTAGTAAATTGACTCTCTATATAGGTTAGGTGCTTTGAGAGAATCAAAAGTAAACAACAGTGGAAGGAACTAACAGTCTTGAAAAAAACCCTTAGCTCAGCATTGGATCTCTAGGACTGTATCTGTACTAGGCAAAGTTTCAGGCAACCCAACTGACTCCCTATGATCATTGTATAACTAAATTATTAGATAGTGGTTTGTTGATTTAAAATATCCTGTTGATGAGAATATAAATTAAGATTGGCTTAACTTTCTGAAGGACAATTTAGGAATATAAATTTTAAATTGACCCACCCAGTTATGTGAAACTGAAGTCCAAAATTTTGCTTTTAATTTCTTATTAAAGCTCAGTTACTTCATTTATCTATGTAAATGCATAGATAAATTTGCCTCTGCATCCTACTTCTAGGAATTAAACAAATGACGTAAGTATGTGTGTGCATACACACACATTGTGGTGCTGTTTATATTGTCTAAAAATTGAATGTCCTTCCGTACAGGTTGGTTAAATTATTTTTGGTCTAACTATATTGTGTTATCTACTGTGTACAGATTTAAAACGTTGCTGTGGGTTAGTATTTAAGGACATGTAAAAAATGCCTATAATGTCACTACTAGTGGAGCAAAATGGGTTCAGTATAATTTTTGAAAGCTGTATCTAGGTAAATATACATAAAGACATATAGAAGAATAACAGTGATTTTTACTTTCTTCTTTATAGTCTTCTATCTTGTTTAGCTTTTTCTTTAAAAAAAAAAAAAAGGAATGTCATTTTCATGATCAAAAAGGCTTTTTTCATTTTCAGGGGAGCAAAAGGGTTTAAGAGAGATATTCATGTCCCTGCTGTTTTAATTCACAAATTTAGTTTAAGTATACCTAATTCTTAGGTGTAAAAACTTTTTTTTTTTTTTTTTTGAGATAGAGTCTCACTTTGTCACCCTTGGTAGAATGCCATGGTGTCATAACTCACAGCAACCCCAAACTCTTGGGCTCAAGCTATCCTCTTGCCTCAGTTTTTCATTTTTTATTAGAGTTGGGGTCTCACACTTGCTCACTCTGGTCTTGAATTTGGGAGCTTAGGTGATCCACCTGCCTAGGCCTTCCAGAGTGATAGGATTACAGACATGAGCCTGACCTCTTAGGTGTAAAACCTTTAAGAAATAAATCAACTAATCCACATGTCTTTCTGCCTGCTTGATGTTTAAGACATTGATCTAGTAGCTGTGGACATTAAAATACTTGCTGGATTTCCATTTAAAAATCAAGCTTAGCAGAATAAAAGGGTTCTTGGCTCAGCGCCCATAGCACAGTGGCTACAATGTCTATCACAT